GTCACCCAGGCTGGAGTGCAATGCACGATCTTGGCTCACTGCAACCTCCACATCCCGAGTTCAAGTGATTCTCCTGCCTCAGCCTCCTGAGTAGCTAGGATTACAGGCACCCACCACCACACCCAGCTAAAATTTGTATTTCTAGCAGAGACAGGGTTTCACCATGTTGGCCAAGCTGGTCTCAAACTCATGACCTAAGGCAATCCCCCTCCCTCAGCTTTCCAAAGTGCTAAGATTACAGGTGTGAGCCACCATACCCAGCCAATATATTCTAATAATGAAATACCATACAGTGATAAGAATGATCCAGAGCTATATCAATATGTAAATATCCCCAAAATCTATTGTTGAGTGAATAAAAGAAAGTTGTAAAATAAGAAATGTTTTTTAAAGGTTACAATTTGTGTTAATTATAAACACATTTAAAAGTCTAGTTCATATTCTTTTAGATATATAGGTAGTAAGAGTTTAAAAGCACAGACTCATAAGTACCATAGCCCATCCTCATGAGTATAGTGGTGAGTAACCCCACCTGTCAAAGATAGGCACCAAATTCATGATAGTAGTTGCCTCTGGGGAGAGAAGTGAAGGAAGTGGGGAGAGAGGAAATTAACTACTTCAAGTTTATTTAGAATGTTTTTGTTTTATTTAAACAACACAATTGAAGCAAATAGGTCAAAGTATCCTACTTGGGTTTAAGATTTTTTTCCAAATGAAAAACACACAGGCCATAGCAATAATATGATAGAGGAAGTTTAGCATGCTTTGAGAATACGTACTAGCGGGATCTAAGCAAGTCTAATAGGGGTCAGTAAAGACTTCCAGGAGGAAATGGGAGTTAGCTTGGTAAGGAGGATGGGAAGAGCATTCCAGGCAGAGGGAACAGCATATGCAAAGTTGGAAGTCACAGACAGCAAAGCATGATACAGGTGAGTAACTAGGAAAGAGTGGAGAAGAGGCAAGAGATGAGGCTACCAAACCTGTGTGGTCTTGTTTCCTTTTTCACAGATGTGAAACATAGCCCTAGTGAGGGGAGTAGAGACAAGGGTTCCTAATCTGTCAATTGCTCCATGATAATAGTAATGACAGTGGTAATCATAATAATAATGTACTGTGTTCTAGTCTCTCTACTAGGTATTTGAAATATGTCCTCTCATAATCTTACTACAGACCTACACAGGGTTTTTTCCTCTCTACTTTGTAGGTGAAACTGAAGCCCAGAGAAGTTAAGAAACTTGCTCAAAGTCAGTGGCAGAAACCACATCGCAGAAGGCCTCCTTGTGTACCATGCTAAGCAGGTTGGACAGCTTCCTAAGAGCACTGGTGAGTGTATGAATTTCCTGTTGCTGCTTGTAATTACAACAAACTTGGTGACTTAAAACAACACAAATTATAGCATCTTACAGTTCCTGAGGTCAGAGGTCTGAAATGGGTCTCACTGGGCTAAAGTGAAGGTGTTGGCAGGGTTGAGTTTCTTTTGTAAGCTCTGTTTCCTTGCCTTTTCCACCTGCATTCCTTGGCTGTGGGCCCCCTTCCAGCTGAAAACTCAGCAATTACACCACTCTGACTTCTGCTTCTGTCATCTCATCCCCTCTGATTCCTACTCTCCTGCCTCCCTCTTTCACTAACAATGACCCTTGTGATTATGTTGGTCCCCTCTGAATAATCCAGGACAATCTCCCCATCTCAAGATCAGCTGATTCTGGCTGGGTGCGGTGGCTCCTGCCTGTAATCCCAGCATTTTGGGAGGCCAAGGTGGGTGGATCACTTGAAGTCAGGAGTTTGAGACCAGTGTGGCCAAAATGATGAAACCCCATCTCTACTAAAAATACAAAAATTAGCCAGGCATGGTGGTGGGCCCCTGTAATCCCAGCTACTTGTGAGGCTGAGGCAGGAGAATAGCTTGAACCCAGGAGGTGGAGGTTGCAGAGAGCTAAGACTGTACCACTGTACTTCAGCCTGGGTGATAGAGTGAGACTCCCTCTCAAAAAAAAAAAAAAAATCAGCTGATTAGCAACTTTAATTACATCTGCAGCCTTAATTCCCTTTTGCCGTATAACATAACATGTTCAGTTTCTGGGAATTAGAGTGTAGACACCTTTGGGAAGGACCGTTATTTTGCCTACCACAGTAATCCACTAAAGGGCTTTAAGCAAGTGAATGACAGGGTGAGACCCACATTTTAGCATCTTCCTGTTATTGTTTTTGTAAAATGGTCATTTCATGATTTAAGACATATTGGGCTTTGTAATAACTAATACTTCCAAAAAGGCTGAACAGTACATAAATATTAAATGTGTTAGGTCTAATAACACATATGGGCTTTTAACTTGAAAGAATTCTTTCCTACATGCAATTTGTGTCTTTCCCCTTAACACCCAGCAGGAATACAAAGGACTGTTATAATTGCCCCTCTGTGGGTAGAGAAAGGGACATTGGCTCACCTGCCTGGGATCACTGAGCTGCTAAGGCCAGGGCCATGGTGAGAAGCTACTCTTCAGGCTCCTTTACCAGCGTTTCTTTCCTTCCTTCCTTCCTTCCTCCCTCCCTCCGTCCCCTTCCTCCCTCCTCCCTCCCTCCTTCCCCCCTCTCTCCCTCCCTCCCTCCCTCCCTCCCTCCCTCCCTCCCTCCTTCCTTCCTTCCTCCCTCCCTCCCTCCCTCCGTCCCCTTCCTCCCTCCTCCCTCCCTCTCTCTCTCCCTCCCTCCCTCCTTCCCTCCCTCCCTCCCTTCCTCCCTCCCTCCCTCCCTCCCTCCTTCCTTCCTTCCTTCCTTCCTTCCTTCCTTCCTTCCTTCCTCCCTCCCTCCGTCCCCTTCCTCCCTCCTCCCTCCCTCCTTCCCCCCTCTCTCTCTCCCTCCCTCCCTCCCTCCTTCCTTCCGAGAGGTTCTCCCTCTGTCTCCAAGGTTGGAGTGCAGTGATGTGATCACAGGTCACTGCGGCCTCAACCTCAAGCAATCCTCCCCCCTCCTCAGCCTCCCAAATAGCCGGGACTACAGGTTCGTGTCACCACACCAGGCTAATTTTTGGTTTTAGTTTGTTTGTAGAGACAGAATTTTGCCATGTTGCCCAGGCTGGTCTCCAACTCCTGGGCTCGAGCGATTTTCCCGCCTCAGCCTCCCAAAGTGCTGGGATTACAGGCATGAGCCACCGCGCCCGGCACCAGCATTCCTTTACACCATTCCTGGCCTTACAGCTCTGTGATCCTAGGCAGGCCCATACACGGGTCAGGCATTTGGGGAAACTTAAGTCAGCACATCTTTGGCACAATTTTCCGGGTATAGCTCAGTGCCCAATAAGCATTTGTTGAATCGGTGAACACCCTTGCTTTCATTTCTGTGACACAGGTAGTGATTTTCAAGGTAGGAAGCCTGAGGACCATCCTAGAATTCCTTCCTTCCCCCCACATCCAATCAATCTGCAAGTCCTTTCAGCTGCCCTGCCAAAATATTCATATATGCTGGGTCGGTCCCCTTCTTTCCAGCTTCTCGGGTCCCACTCTGTCCCAGGGCACTGTCGTCTCTGAGCTGAGCTGCTGCAGTGGCCTCCACCAAAAAAAAGGGTCAGTGAGGGGTCGAACGAAGTATCTGACTTAAATACATTGGATGACCTGGCCTCCCACGTTAAATTCTCCTGTTGGGTTTTTATCAGGCAGAAGAGAAGAAAAACTTTACCTCCCAATCATGGCCATATACGGTCCTGCATGCTCCGGCCCCCAACCGTCCTCTTTAGCCTCATCTCTTAACAGCTTCCATGGCTCCTTCTACTCCAGTCCCTCTGGCTTTTTACAAAGTCCAAGCTATTCCCATCATAGGGCCTTTGCCCATGCTGTTCCTTCTGTTGGAAATACTCTCTCCACTCTTTTCCTTTTGTGTGCGTGTAATTTTTTAGTTTTTTGAGACAAGGTCTCACTCTGTCACAGGTCACTGTGGCAGGTCACTGTGATAGGTTTGAGTGCAGTGGTGCGATCATGGCTCACCACAGCCTCCATCGCCTGGGCTCAAGTCATCCTCCCACTTCAGCTTACTACCTGGGACTATAGGTCCCACCTAATTTTTTTTTTTTTTTTTTTTTTTGGTAAAGACAGGGTCTCCCTGTGTTGCCCAGGCTGGTCTCAAACTCCTGGGCTCACACAGTCCTCCTGCTTTGGCCTCCCAAAGTTCTGGGATTACAGATATGAGCCATCATACCCAGCCAAATTTCTTTTAGAGATGGGGTTTTAGTATGCTGCTTAAGCTGGTCTCAAACTCCTGGGCTCAAATGATCCTCCCGCCTCAGCATCCCCATGTGTTGGGATTACAGACATGAGCCACTGAGCCTGGCTTTCCACTCTTTAAATGGTTGGGTCCTTCTTATGTATCACCTCTGAGCTCAAATGTCACTTATTCAGAGAAGTACTCCCTGTCTGCTTTGTTTCTGCCATAGAAAACCGGAACCATTTGTAAATAATTTATTTGTCTCTGCTTATTTTGTTTGCCTTCCCTCCTAGATCTGAGATGTGTAATATGTAGCTACTAGCGGCATATGGCTAGTAAGCATCTGGAATGTGGCTGGTCTGAATTGAGGTGTGCTGTTAAGTGTAAAAGACACCAGATTTTGAACAGTTAATACAATTTTGAAAGGATATAAAATATCTCATAGTTTCAAAATACTGACTACATGTTGAAATATTTTGGATATATTGGGTTAAATAAAATAACAATTAACTTGTTTCTGCTTTTTAAATGTGGCTGCACATAGGGCTGGCACTATATTTCAACTGGGCAATTCTGGTCTAGACCGTTAATTAACGAAGGTAGGAGAAATCTCTACCCACTGCTGTGTCCCTAGTCCCTGTCATATACTAGATCCTCGGTAGGTGTTTACTGAGTAACTTGGTATTTATGAGAACTCCGGGCTTTTATGAGAGCTGAGACAAGCAGGCCCACATAAGCTATGAACTTGAGGCAGGAAGAGACATGAAAGAAACAAGTTTTCTTTTTCTCTGATCGCTGTATTTTAAAGGGCTCTGTGGATCCTCTCTGTCCTGCTTTCTATCCACCGTCCCCAACAGTCACACACTACTGTAGATGGGGGGTGGGGGTGATGTCGGGAGAAACGAAGCTGGCGCAGCTGCTTCTATTTCAGTCCTGTAGGAAGCGTCTCGATCCTTTTACATTCTCCAGCTTTGGTCCTACCAGCCAGGAAGGACTCAGCGCAACATCCTCAGACACACAGATAGGGTTAGCTGGGGCTCACGGGGACTTTCCCAGGGTCACCTAGCAGGTCAGACCTCAAACCTTGGTCTCCAGACCCACCCTTCAGGACCCTGAGCTCTAGCAATTAATACATCCTGTTGTAGTCTCCTTTAGACTGGAACCCCCTCAATCCCCTCTCCCAACATTCACCTGTGATTTCTTGGGGCCCCTAATGGCAGTTACGCCTGGTCCCAGCAGAGCTTACCTAGCTGGCACCATCCCTCCTAGGGGCTGAAGGAGCGAGAGGATGGATGAATGGATGTGAAGATGGATGGGTGAATATCAATGAACAGGAGGGTGGGAGGATGGTTGGGAAAGGAGGAAACTTGGTAGGTAGGGTGTCTGCCCGGGTGGAGGGGATGTGTCGGAAGGAATTACCCACTTATTCGGTTCCAAGCAGACTCCGAAGAGCAGAGAGTCCTTGGCGATGAAAGTCCGGCCCCGTCCCGTTTCTGCTAGAAGCCGAAGGGGAGAAGTTGGGTGCTTTGCCCCGGGCCCGCAGGGAGGTCCCGGCAGAGCCGGAAGGGGGACCGGGGTGTGTGGGCCGGCCGGGGGGCTCTGGGCGACATCCCCCGCAACCGCTCGCGCCTGCCGGTGCCAGGGTTGGGGGAGCGCCCCCGCCCCCACCTCCGGAGTGGCGGCCCCACGCGGCCCCAACAAGCTGCCGTTGTCCCGCGGGCCGTGGGCCCGGCACACTGGGGCTTTGTCCAGCCCCCCGCCGCGACCAGAGGGGGGGGGGCCACATGACCGAAAGGGTAGGAGGAGCCTGCAGCGGCGGCGGCGGCGGCTCCACCACCATTTCCCTCCCGGGCTGGGGGTCGGCGGGCGGTGGCGGTGGCGGTGGCTGGGCAGGGCTGGGCAGGGCCGCGGACTCCAGGCCCCCAGTTCCCCGCCAGGCTGCAGGCGCCGGGCCTGGGCCGACAGAGCAGCTGTGACCGGAGCGCATTCCGGGCGGCAAACTGGGGGGGCGCCCGGACCGCCGCCCCCGAGATCATGGGCAATGGCATGACCAAGGTAGGAGGCGGGCCCCGCGCAGCCTCCCCGGCCCCCGCCCGGCCGCCGCGGCGCTGACCAGCTCGGTCCGCCCGCCTCTGAACTCCTGGTCGCGCCGGTCTCTGTGCGGCTGCACCTCCGTGTCCCTGTGCCTCGGGTCTGCGGCTGTCGTGTCTCTCCCTCTCTGACCCTGCGTCTCTGTCCCCGCCGTATCTGCCCTCTCCCTCTCGCTCCGTGACTCTGAGTCTCTCGCTGTGTCTTGCTGTGGCTGTCATTCCCAGGCTGTCTCCCAGCGAGTCCGGCTCTCTGCCTGCATGTGTCCCTCTCTCTCGTCGCTGACTCCCGGCTCTCTCCCCGGCTGTTTCTCCATCCTTTCCCGCCTCTGCTTGTCCCTACCTTCCTGCCTCCCCAATCCCGGAATCTCCATCCCCCGACCCTGCAAGTCCCCCTCTCTCCTCTCCTCCTAAGATCGCTCCTAAGACCTCTCTCTGCACCCCATCCTCTGCCTTCCTCCTCTCCCCTCTCATACCCAAGCTGGCGTCCCTTGGTTCCCCCCCGCTGGTTAACTTACCCCCCTGCCCCCCTCCCCAGAATCCCAGACCCCTCTCACAGAGGACCCAGGGCCCACAAAGGGAAGGAGGGTGCTCCCTGAGCCCCGAGGTCCATACCCTTCATGGGACAGAGAGGGACTATGGGCACCTCAGCTCTCCTGAGGGTGGAAGGGGGTGCAGCCCCTGCCCCACTGACCCCTGCCTGTCCTTCCTCTAGGTACTCCCTGGACTCTACCTCGGAAACTTCATTGGTGAGCACTGCCTGCTCTGTCCCGAGGCCGTGGCACTCTGTCTCAGGCCTGTGTCCACCATGCATGCCCCGGCCCATGCATCTCAGGAATGGGGCTGGGGGCAGGGAAGCTGTGCCAGACTGGGAGGAGGAAAGGGCTGATGGAGGATAAAGGGGTGCATGTGCAGGGAAGTGTCTCCAGGCCTGAAGGGACATGGAGGGAGCATGGGGACCTGACACTGACACCCCTCCCCGACATTCAGCCTTCCCCAGTGTTCTACCGCTAGACCAAAGGGACAAAGCAAAGGGCTCAGGGCCTGGGCAGTGGACTTGGGCAGGTCTACACCTGCGCTAAGCCTCAGCCTCCTCCTCAGCACAAAAGGTCCACGGGCCGCTGAGGGCTCTTCTGGCCCTAAGGTTCTGGGTCGAGGTCTGTTTGGGGGTACTGCTTCTAGCAGGGAAGCTGGGAGCTCTTCCCCCCATAACTTCCTCCTTGTCAGAGGAGAGGTCTCTGGAGACGGGTTGGATTCCCTTGTGAGCAGGGTCATGAGCACCAACCCCGTCGACCCCCAGAGCCCTGGAGCAGCTGGGCAGCCTAGAGCTGCAAGTGTGGCGGGGGGGGTGAGCCAGCAAGCTTTGCATTCCCCATTCTCTCATCCATCCCTTCCGCAATCTTCAGTCAGGAGGAGGGGACACGAATGTATAGATACCTTGTTCCTCAGAGGCTTCTAGGCTGGTGGCCAGCAGGCAGAGCTGAACACAGACCTTTGGCTATGGGTAGAAAGTATGCTAAGGGGGCTGGGTGCATTGGCTCACACCTATAATCCCCACACTTTGGGAGGCAGAGGTGGGTGGATCACCTGAGGTGGGGAGTTGGAGACTAGCTTGGCCAGGATGGTGAAATCCCATCTCTACTAAAAATACAAAAATTAGCCAAGCGTGGTGGTGGGTGCCTGTAATCCCAGCTACTCGGGAGGCTGAGACAGGAGAATTGCTTGAACCCAGGAGACGGAGGTTGCAGTGAGCTGAGATTGTGCCACTGCACTCCAGCCTGGGTGACAGAGCAAGACTCTGTCTCAAAAAGGAAAAAAATAATAAAGAAAACATGCTAAGGGGCAGGCTGGTCCAGGGCTTGGGTGACCCAAGGTGGGAAAATCACTTCCATCTGCAAAGTCAGAGAAAGCTTCAGAGAGGGAGGGGCTCAGGTGCCCCACCCTTGTAAACCCTAGTCCCTTCCTTCCTGGGAGCTCCCTCAGCCGCTCATGCCACATTGATTTCTGTGAGTATTTGGCCAAGTAAGGTCTGAGTCCTCTTTAAGTGTGCCGGCCCCATAAGGGCAGGAGCCACGAAGCTGGCCCCAGACCTCCAGTGGACAGCCAGAGTATACATATGATTAGCACATGGTAAATGCTCATCGAATGATGAAGTGGAGAGAGAGGGGACATGTGTTTTTTATTCTGAATATAAAATGTCTACATATGCTGGGTATGCAGTCTCTAGAGATGGGCACTGTTGGGCACATCCCTGGGTCATTGTTTATATATCTTTGTAGATAAAGACATAATATTGGCCCCTCACGGTGGCTCACGCCTGTAATCCCAGCACTTTGGAAGGCCGAGGTGGGCGGATCATGAGATCAAGAAATTAGACCATCCTGGCCAATATGGTGAAACCCCGTCTCTACTAAAAAATACAAAAATTAGCTGGGCATGGTAGCGCGTGCCTGTAGTCCCAGCTACTCGGGAGGCTGAGGCAGGAGAATTGCTTGAACCCGGGAGGCAGAGGTTGCAGTGAGCCGAGATCCTGGCACCTGGTGACAGAGCAAGACTCTGTCTCAAAAAAAAAAAAAAAAACACAAAAAAACAAGACTGTGGGCATCATTGCACATCAATCCCAGCACTCTTTTTAATGGCTACACACGGTGCCGAAGTATGTCTGTACCATTAATCATCCCGTCCCTTTTTAATGAACAGGAGGCTGTTCCCATGTTTAAACTATTTGTGATATAAGCAGGACTGCAGAGGACATCGTCCTCCACACATGGCTTTCTGTGTGAGCAAGCTCTTCTGTAGACAAGATTCCTAGAAGTAGAATTGCTGGGTCAAAGAGTATGCCTGGGAAGGGCGTTTTGGACCGAAAGAACAGCATGAGCAAGGCTGGGGAGATGCTGGACTGTTACTTGCATGTGCCCCAGATGCAAGAGGAGCAGGGAGCTAGAAGAGGGTGGGCCAAGGTGGAGTGGCAGGGGTGAGGAGGAGAGCTGGGCAGGCAGTGAGCTCCCTCCACAATTAGCCATCAGGGACAAAAAAGTCACACCGGTCAGATTGGCTCTAGCATCCTGTTTCTTTCAGATGCCAAAGATCTGGATCAGCTGGGCCGGAACAAGATCACACACATTATCTCTATCCATGAGTCACCCCAGCCTCTGCTGCAGGTACTTCTTACCCCCATCCCAGGGCTATGCGGGGCTGGGAGGGTGCAGACCCGTTTATCAAATATCTGCTATGTGCTGGGTGCGATGCTTCCTTCTTGACTCGTGTTAAGTCACTTGGTCTCCACCACTGGGCAGTTTTACATGATCATCCCTATTTGGCAGCTGAGGCCCAGAGAGGTCAATTAACTCACCTAAGGTTACATATCCAGGAAGCTGAGGAGTTGGGATATGAACACAGACCATCTAGCACCAGAAGTCTCACACTGACCCTTAAAAAGACCCCCATGTGGGTTTCCTATGGCCCAACTGGATGGATGAGTCCAAATAGATGACTCTGTGCTCTGTGTCTTGTTTTGCAAGTCTGGGCTGTGACTTTACCTCTCTGGGCCTTTGGCCCCTCAGCTCTGTCTGCCCCCAGAGGGCTGTTGTGAGGAGGCAAAGGGACTGCAGGATGGTGAAGATGCTTTGCACACTGTAAGGCACGGTCCCCTCCAGAGGGGTTGGTGCTGCTATTATCAAGTCCTAGGAAAGGGGAAGGAGGGTGTTAGGACCCAGCAGAGGAAAGCCATAAATCCAGACTACACGTGCTCACGTCATGAACATCTTCACCGTTTATTTACTCTACGACCTTGGGGATAGGACTTCACTCCCTCTAAGCCTCAGTTGCCTGATCTGTAAAATGGGAACTTTACATCAGTACCCACTTCACTGAGTGGTTGAGAACCATGTAAATAGGTGCCTAACAAATTACGAATGATACTGTAACCAAGCTAGTCATATTCTTAGCCCACAGACAGAGCCTCTTCCCCCTTACCTATTAGAGTCTATATCATCCACTGAAGAGAAAGAACCGTGGGTGGCAAAAGGTCCTGGAGATCGGAAACAAAGACCTGGTTCTGCCACAGACTTGCTGTGTGATCTTGGGCAACATCCTTACCTTCTCTAGGCCTCAGTTTTCCCATGTCAGATTTGATATTCTCTAAGAGCAACCTCCAATAATCTATGATGTTCAATGTCATTCAGAGCAGAAATTTCCAGGTCATTGGAGTCTTACTTTGCCGCACAGGGCAGCCTCGTTTGGGAGCGTCTGGAGTAAGCAGTCACTAGATTGCACGGGGAAGGCTGTCAGGTCATGAGTGTATTTACTAATGAAGTGACAGCCTGCGCAATGAGTCTCTGCTCCTGGCTCTTCCTGCTTCTCCCAAGCGTCTCTCCCTCCCACTCCATCAGCAACTTTACCAAGCAGGGTTTGATAATTCCACTCAAACCCAAGGCCAAATGTGTTGCAAAGTGAAACTGCAAACCTTGCCAAAGATGCAGGATGTCATGACCTTGTGGAATGTGAGTGGGAGAAGGGCTAGAATCTCACACAAAGCCATGGACAAGTGAGAACTTGGCTGGTGGTCCCCTAGCTACTGCCAGTAGTGGGCCAGGCACCTGAAAAGAGCCATTTGAGTATCGAAATGTTAAGACAATTTCTTGAGAAAAGCAAGGAGGGCCTCAGAAGGGAGCAAAAATAACCTTCATGATATGGCCTGGCTAATCAGAAGACAAAGGACATCACAGCAAGTTTGCTGGGAAAAAAAAATCCTAACAATGTATTCCTTGATTGTTCTCATAATGAGCACATCATTTTGTAACCATGATTCATGAAATGTAAACTTGTTTTCATGACTTTCCTTTCAAGATAATCAAATCTGCTTTACCTTTTTTACAATGTAATTTTGTAATTCCCATTTAGAGGGGAGTCCCTTTAAGTAGCCCTTTCCTGGATATCTGATAAAGGTCCCTGGGTCCCTATTGGGAGGGATAGGTTACCTCATGCCCAAGCTGCCAATGAGGTTAGGAGATGCCATCGGCTTAGAAGGTTCAGGAGTCACAAATGGGCACAGCAGGCCTCAGAGATGACATCTACTTTCTTTGGTCAGAGAGGACAACAGTGGGCCAGAGGGGGGCAGGAACTGGGCTAGAGTCATCTCCTGACTGGGCAGCTCAGACCAGGGGAAGGGAAGGCTATAGACAAGGTCCCCTGCCTGAGTGTGTTTTGTCTTTGTAGGATATCACCTACCTTCGCATCCCGGTGGCTGATACCCCTGAGGTACCCATGTAAGTTCTCCTGGATGGAACCACAGATGGACAGACAGCTGCATCCTGTGGTGGGGGAGGGAGAGGGGGTTTGAAGGAGGACAGAGAGTACTCAGACCAGAAAGCTGTCACAGGTGGTCAACTCGACCAGTCCCAGGTTTGACTCTGTCTCAATCGTGCCCTTGTGATACGCCCTTGGCCAAGACTCTTGACCTCCCTGAACCTCAAGTCTCATCAGCTATGAAATGAGGAAAGGACACTGTACCTTGGGACCAGCTGCAAAGGCCAATTAGAAAAGGTCACATTCAGGCTGGGTACAGTGGCTCACGCCAGTAATTCCAGCACTTTGGAAGGCCAAGGCAGGTGGATCACCTGAAGTCAGGAGTTCGAGACCAGCCTGGCCAACATGGAGAAACCCCGCCTCTACTAAAAATACAGTTAGCTGGGCATGGTGGTGCATGCCTGTAATCCCAGCTACTTGAGAGGCTGAGGTGGAGAATCGCTTGAACCCAAGAGGTGGAGGTTGCCGGGTGAGCCGAGATCATCAAGCCATTGCACTCTAGCCTGGGCAACAAGAGCGAAACTGTCTCAAAAAAAAAAGAAGGGGTCACATTCAGCCTGTTCCTGGCCTTGGGGTTAATATCCAGCCAGGCTTTGACATTTATTTGCTATGTGACCTTGAACAAATCACTTCCCCTCTCTGAGCCTCACCTGTAAATCAGGAGTGCATGATCAGAGTCAAGGAGGGCTTTCAAAGATCAGATGACACAGGTTAAGGATCTAGGATAGGGTCTGGAGTGTAATCGAGCTCAGATAATGGGATTTTTGTTTGTGGCATCAGCAGTAGTGCCTCTCCGCTTGGGATGGAGCCAGGCAGACAGTCCTAGGGAATCTTGCTCCCAGCCGGCTGCTGCCCATCATTGTGCCCAGGTGCCCTAATTGCAGACCCCAGAGCAATGGGACCCCTGTGTTTCCTCCCACACATTTCTTTGAAAGGCCCCAATAAACCCACCATGAAAACAGTGTCCACAGGAGGAGCACTCTTGCCCAGAGGGTGAGATTTGCCATGACTGGCCTCACTCACTGCCTGAAATGCCACCATTCTTCCTTCACACACACACCTCCACCTCATGCCAATTACTGGCCCCTATCCACTGCATGTGCTGGCTGACCTGGGGACCCCAGGGTTCTGTGTCCCTTGCTATCCTGTAATTGGGGTGGGAGCAGAACAACTCCTGAGAGATCTGCCCTGAAGTGCTCCCTACCCTATTGCTTTCTCCTGTAGCAAAAAGCACTTCAAAGAATGTATCAACTTCATCCACTGCTGCCGCCTTAATGGGGGGAACTGCCTTGTGCACTGGTAAGTTAAGGGGGGTGACGTGGGGGAGGAAGGAAGTCGCTATGTGCTCTGCTGAATGTACACTCACGCTGTGGGAAGGCTGGACCTGTGAAGGACCTTCTCCAGCCTGTCACAGTCCTGAGGGCCCACCACTCATGGGAAGAGGCCAGCCAGCGGCTCTGTTCCTTAACAGCTATGTGGCCACAGCCACGTAGCTGTTTCTCTCTGATACTCAATGTCCTCATCTGTAAAATGGGGAAAAGAAAGCTGACCTGACTGGATTGTTGGGAGGGACAGGGGAGGTCATGCAGACAGCTTGTCACCCTCCAGCAGTTCTGGGCCTCCCTCCTCCCCTCCAGGCCTTTGAGGTGATGGTGCAGGGCAGTGGGGAACCCCAAGCTGGGAGACAGGAACTATGGGTCTTCCCAGGTGCCCCTCACTCAGTTGATGTCATTCATTTCTTCTCACTAAGTGCCTGTCCTGTCCAGGCTCAGGCTGGCTCTGCCAGAGGCCCAGCAATGAGGCCAGCTCTCCCAAGCCTCATCTCCCACCCTCTCCCTCCTTCCCCTTTCCAGCTGTACTAACCTCCTCCCCAACCTCCAAATCCACCAGGCTTATGCCTCATGGTCTTTATACACACTGCCTAGAAGGTTCCTGACTAACCCTTATCCAACTTTCAAACTTTGTTGATGTCTATTCCTTGGGAACCCCTTTCCCAACCCCACCCACCTATAGATTAATACCTCTTCCTATGCGCATCTCCTAGCCCCTAGACTCATCCTCAAAGCTATTATCACCAACTGGAATTGTTTCTCTGGTCAATGTCTGTCCCCCAACCATGCTGTAAGCTCCAGGACAGCACAGAACATGTCTGTTTTATACCTGATACATCCCCAGTGCCTGAAAAAGAACAGATGATCAGGAAATATTTGCTGACTGAATGAATGGTGTTTCACTCAGGCCTTGGAAGTGGGAGAACCCAGGGGATGCTCTAGGCAGAGGGAACAGGGTGGCAAAGGCCGGGAGGTGGGATGGCAGGTCCTGACAGGTCTGTTATGGTTGGAGCTCAGGAGGCAAGCATGGGAGAGCTGAAGCAGGGATGCGGTGCCTGGGGGTCATGGAGGACACTGGATCTTACTTGAAGCCTGAAGCATTGTCGGGATTCCAGCTTTGCAGGTATCTCTCGCAGCACCACGATTGTGACCGCATATGTGATGACTGTGACGGGGCTAGGCTGGCGGGACGTACTTGAAGCCATCAAGGCCACCCGGCCCATCGCCAACCCCAACCCAGGCTTTAGGCAACAGCTTGAAGAGTTTGGCTGGGGCAGTTCCCGGAAGGTAGGGATGGGGTCAAGGGCCGGGTTGGGCCAGGGGTAGGAGATCCTTCTTCACACTCGGGCTGATCACAGATTGGAATGAATTTAGCCTGTGTCTCAGACCCAGCAGAAGATTTTTCTAGGATCTTAAACTCATGGCCTTTGAGCTAGTCCAGCTCCTAGGTGTATTCTGTTTGACAGCCCATGAAAGGTGTTTTCCTTTTCAACTTGGAATTTGAATGCCTTTAGATCAGTGCGGGCCCTTTCATTGGACCAGGTCTTCCAGCCCTCCCCACTGCCCGCCTTACCTGCTGGAACCTGAAGGAGATGAGTGTTTGACCCCATCCTGAAGAACTGTCCCTGTCCTACTCCACCCCTGCATCCTTGAAGATACCACAGCAGTTTCCCTCTCACACCCCTGGCGCAGACGCCACGTAGAAATGTCAGGAACTGAGGCCTCTTGGGGAACGAGGGATGAGAGGGGGAGGGCTCTCAGCAGGTGGAGGGCGGTACCCAGAGGCTTATCTGCAGGACGGCTTTGGGAAAGAATCGGGCAAGGAAGAGCCCTGTGGGAACGGGGTTGTGAATACAGAGGTGCAAAGCGGGAGGAATGATCCCCGTTGGGCTCCTGGGAGGCACTTTGGCAGGTCTGGAAGCTGGAGTGTCGAAGCAGGAAGGGCCTCCTAGAAGGGAAGGGGGACTCGGTGAGGGGACGGAAACCGGTTAGGGAGGCAGAGAAGACGCTCAGAAAGGGAGGGGCTCAGCGAGGTGGGGGACGCTCCTAGAAGGGCGGGAGGGCGGGGAGGGGCGGGGCCGGCTGCCTTGACCCCGCCCTGCGACCGGCCTTGACCCCGCCCACCCCAGCTCCGCCGGCAGCTGGAGGAGCGCTTCGGCGAGAGCCCCTTCCGCGACGAGGAGGAGCTGCGCGCGCTGCTTCCGCTGTGCAGGCGCTGCCGACAGGGCTCCGCGACCTCGACCGCCTCCGCCGGGCCGCACTCCGCCGCCTCCGAGGGAACCCTGCAGCGCCTGGTGCCGCGCTCGCCCCGGGAAGCTCACCGGCCGCTGCCGCTGCTGGCGCGCGTCAAGCAGACTTTCTCTTGTCTCCCGCGGTGTCTGTCCCGCAAGGGCGGCAAGTGAGGATGCAGTCCCGCCGCGGCTCCCCACTTCCACCCGACTGGCTCCCTTCGGGGGCTGTCTGCGCCTTCCACGCTCCCCAGGACGGGCCCAGAAGCGGGGGGAGCCCCGAGGCTGCCTGAACCCTGCCTCCCGCGCCCGCCCTGCTCCTCCGCGTCTGCAGGCAGCGTCCCCGACCTGTGCGTCTCTGTGTCCGGGCCGGCCTGCTGCAGCCACCTGGTGCCTTAGTCCTTGGGCTGGGGGAGGGAGCCCACCCTTAAAGGCGGCGGGAGGGGAGGGAGGGGGACCGGAAGGTTGGACGGGCCTGGAGGATATTAAAGAGACACAGAAGAAGCTGCCTGTCCGAGTGCCTCCCAGTCATTCAACAAAGGCCTGGCCGCAGGACTCTGCCAGGGGCCAGCAGCCTGCAGGAAAGGGGATGGGAGCAGCCCACCACCCTCCCGCCACTGCGGTCTGCGGAGTTGCCTCCTGGGACCACCCTGGCTTCTCTAACAATACATTTCTTCCAAAGTGGCGGTGTCCCGCCTGACAAGGCCTGAGTCCCTCCTCTCAGAACCCCCTTCCACCTTTTGAACCCTTCTCCTCCACTCTGAGGGGCTCCTCCCCTCCCCGACTCCCTTCCCTTTCCTTCGCACAAATACTAGCTAGTAAGGTAAGGTAGTGCCTCCCTCAACCTGACCTTTTACTGCATGAGTTCACTCAATCCTCAGGGAGGAAACAGAGGCTCAGAGAGATCAAGCAGCTTGCCCAAGCACACAGCTAGAGCAGGGGAAGCTGAACGTGAACTTAGGCTGAGTCCCATGATAGGTAGTTGGGAAGCGGCTCCTCTGGTTTGGGGAGGTTCCTGGCAAGGAGGCTCCACCCCCAGCTAGTGGGACTGACCCTTCCCGCCAAGACTTTAAAGCCCAGGGCCGCCCATCAAACAGCAGCTGACCCTGAGGATGAGCAGAAGTCATTGCAGCTGATATTTCCAGCACCAAAATTAACCCAAAGTTGAGAGGGATGGAAAATAGCTATAACCCACTAGCCACTTGTATGAAGTTCTTAATATGTACAAATCACTGTGCTCAGGGCTGTTGGGGAGACATCCATTCCAGCATTGGAGTTGGGAGATGGACAAAATACCCTTCAGCTTCCACCCCAACTTCCTACTCCTCATTCATTCAACAAATGTCCATTGAGTACCTACTGTGTGCCAGCCATTGTGCTAGGCCCTGGGTATACAGCAATGAGCAAAACCTCTGCCTCATGTAGCTGACCTTCTGGTCCGGAAGACACCAGATAAAATAAAAAATATGCCGGGTGGTGAGGGAGTGGACCATCTGGTTATCTGGGGGAAGCATTCAGGCAGACAGCATTAAAGAAAGACCATGAGTTATAACCTCCTTGCCAGTAACCTCCAAAACCAGAAGGAGCTGCTTCCTAACTACTTACCATCATGAGTTAGGGCCTTTCCCTTCACAGTTAATGTGAAGAGCAAAGTGGGCAGGCTGGGAGTGGTGGCTCACGCCTATAATCCCAACACTTTGGGAGTCCAAGGCGGGTGGATCACTTGAGATCGAGAGTTCGAGACCAGCCTGGTCAACACGGAGAAACCCCGTCTCTACTAAAAATACAAAATTAGCTGGGCATGATGGCACATGCCTGTAATCCCAGCTACTTGGGAGGCTGAGGCAGGAGAATTGCTTGGAACGATTCTCCCGCAGGAGGCGGGAAGTTGCAGTGAGCCGAAATCGTGCCATTGCACTCCAGCCTGGGCAACAAGAGTGAAATTCCATCTCAAAAAAAAAAAAAGAGTGAAACTCCATCTCAAAAAATAAAAATAAACAATAAAGTGGGAGGACTCAGCAGAGTGCAGGGAGCCTGCAGTCCTCCAGGCTGGTTAGTGGTGCTGCCATCCACCCCATTTAAAACATCTTCTCTCTCTGATGGTGTCTTCCCCTATTTAACAGCCTCCATGGAGGCGAAGGCTGCAGTGAGTGGAGATCGTGCCACTGCATTCTAGCCTGGGCTACAGAGTAAGACCATGTTTAAAAAAAAAGAAAGAAAGAAAGAAAGCCTCTATGGCTCCCATCATCTATAAGACTGATCTGATGATCTGATCAGTCCTTCAAGATGCTCCCTCTCCCCCTCCAGGATTACCTCACCACACTCTGACCCAACAACAAAAATATACCACTCCTTTATTGAGTTCTCACTCCAGGCTGTGTGCAAAACACTTTCCCTGTGTCACTTTTCATCCTCAAGCAAGCCCATGGAGTAAATGTTGCTGTTTAACAAGGGAGGAAGCGGAGCCCAGTGCCCAAGGTCACCAGCTAGCAAGTGGTGGGGTTGGGATGTGAACTCAGGCAGTCTGGCTGCAGACCCCAACCTCTTAATTATTACCCTCTGCAACCTAGAAAACTGAAGGGCTCATCTGACACCCTCAAGACTCCTGCTGGGATGTAATTGTTATTCTGTTTAATCGTATGAAATGCTTTGTGCTTCAGAGCCTTACAGGCCTGAGTTTGAATCCCAGCTGTGGCTATGGAAGGACCAGAGCCAAGTGGCTACCGGAGTTTGGGACTGGGGGAAAGGAGGAGCACGAAGAAAGCCCTCCCAACAGGTACACATCAGGAATGGTGCTTCCAGTTTCTGGTCAATGCCGGCTGGGTGTCCAGCTCTGTGCCCACTGCATAGCAGAGGTGTGGGGAGTGGGGGGTGTTGTCACTCAGAGCCTCAGTTCCGTAAATACAGAAAGGAGTGGAGCGATCTGAGCAACTTGATCTCTTTCATATCCCAAATCTCCTTTGACAATTTAATGAAAACTGCAAACCCCAGAAAAAAGAAATGCATAGACATGAGATTTACATTCACTTTTAGGAGGTCAGAGACCCCACCAAGAATCCGCAAAGTGCAGGCGTAGCTGTCGGCAGGCACTGTGGGCACTGCTTAGGATCCTGGGCTCTAGGGAGCAGAGAGACACAGTCTGGCTCCTGGCTCCACCACCCACTAGCTCTGTGACCTTGTTAGAGGGCTTTAACCTCTCTGAGCCTCAGTCTTAACATTAAAACAGGGCGTTATGCTAACCTCATATGCTGTTGTGAGAAGCAATGGAGACACTGCAGGGAGGTGTTTAGCCAGGCCCAGCACTGCGACGAGCAGTCAGTAAGTGGGAACTCCTAAAATTTAAGGAAATAAGTGTGACCCCTGGACCACCTGCGTCAGAACCCCTCAGGGGAACTCATTACAATTCAGGTTTCCTGGGCTTCCTGCCCAGAAAGTCTGATTCCGCAGGTCTGGGATGGAGGTCATGAGTGTGCATTTGAAACGAGTTGCTGCCTCCCCGTTCTGGCAGGAGCTAGTTTGAGAGGCCCTGTCTTTCCAATCTCAACACTCCAGGTCCTGAAAAGAGACTGACAAGTCTTCAGGTGGGCCGGGAAGAGCAGGTGATGGGTGCGGGATGAGGAAATCTGTGTCTCTGGATGCTCGTGGGGGCCACCTCCTGGGCCCTTCAGAGCCCAGGCTACCCCGCTTGGGTGGGTCTTGTGTCCCACAGCGCCTCCTGCCGACCCACAGAAGAGGCTCAATGCCCTCCAGGCCAGGCAGCCACAGGGAGGGGTGAAAGGAAAGGGGCTCCCAGAAGAGGGGACAAAACAGAAAGTGAGACTTGCCCACCCAGACTTTCACTTTCATCGCCTCCGCACACCACCTAGGTGCCCCAGAGTCCCGGGCCCACGTGGATCCAGCCACTGCGAGCCCAAGACCAGGCCCCCTGAATACTGCATCCCCGATGGCCAGAAGGAAGGGAAGGTCCCCGACAGCAGGTGGACCCATGGCAGAGCCAGAGGTCCCCTGTGCCACTGGGACTGGGGTGGCACAGATTGAGAGTCGATGCCAGGTGGATTGCACTGGGAGGACTCGGACAGGACCCTCTTCCGCATCCCCTGGAAGCACGTAGCCAAGCAGGGCTGTGAGGCACAGCAGGACTCAGCTCTCTTCAGGGGACAATGGACTGAAGACACTCAGCACTGGGCAGGCTCTGGACACAAGTGGCCCCAGCACTGGGACTGACTGATAGCTGGTGACCCCGGGCCACTTGCTGGCCTTTAGGGCTGAGGATAGTGTTCTCTACATATGAGGGACCCTTGGACACTCTCTTAAAACAATCGGCTGAGGTGGCCATGGCATGCACCACCCTCCCCTCCCAGAGGGCCTCTTCTCCCGCTCTACCAACGCTCTGATGGGAATTCCCTCAGCCCCCCACCCCCAAGCCCACCAACCTCTGCAGCTCTGGAAACTTTTCAGTGCTCCCAGCACCAGCCCTTCTCAGAGACCTCCTGCAGGAATGTCCTTCTTTTCCCAGTCATCATTAACTTCTTCCAAATGAGCTCCTTTCTTGAGAAAGAGATGGTTAAGCTGGGGATGGTGGGAGCTTGCCAGGTAAAGGTGAAGAGGAGAAGGTGTCGCAGGCAAAGGGAACCGCACGTGCAAAGGTCTAATGGTGATAAAGGCATGAAACATTTAGAAACGAAAAGAACTAAAGTGGGGGAGGAGAGGGAGTAGAGGCAGATGAGGCCCGGGAGGGGCAGTTCATGCATGGCCTTGAGGCCATCTTGAAGAGTTGGAACTCTTTCACAAGGGCAATGGGGAGCTATGAAAGGATTCTGAGTAGGGGAGGGTGAAGATCAGATTTGTGGCCAGGAGCTGTGGCCCAACTGTAATCCTAGCACTTTGGGAGGTCAAGGCAGGAGGATCACTTGAGCCCAGGAGTTTGAGACCAGCCTGGGCAACATAGTGAGACCCCACCTGTATAAAAAGAAAAAAAAAAAGACCAGATTTGCATTTAGAAAGATCCCTTAGAGGACTCCTGGCATTGTGGAGGGATAGTTGCAGTCATTTCAATTCTGGGATCTCTCCCCTGAGAAATAAGCAAATGACTGCACACCTGCCCCCCACCACCCCAAACCTGAGTCACCTCCAGCCCTCCTTCTGTGGCCTCCCCTCCTTCCACAGTGGGAAGCACCTGGAGAGCTTCCTCACACTAACCAACTCCCTCTCAGCCTCCCAGCTGCCCATGACCAGTCCGGCTTCTGTCCCTCTTGGTCCCTCTCGATAATGCCTCTAGTTGCCAAATCCAAGCATATGTCACTGTCATCATCTTCTTTGGCTCCCGAGTGGGTCTGCATCTCACAGGCCCTCCCTCCTCCTTGAAACACTCTCACTTGACTTCCAGAATCTCTGCTGCCTGCCCCACAACTCCTCCAGTCCTTTGCTTCTCAGCCTCCATCCTGTCCTCTTCTCTGCCGGGGCTCCCAGCACTCACTCCTGGACCCACTTCCTCATGTCCCACTCTCCCCTTCTATGACCTTAGCCTGGAGGCTCTGGGTCTTTCTCTGAACCCCAAGCCTGCTCATCAAGCTGCCTGCTGGGCGCTATCTCCTGGGTGGCCCTGAGCACCTCAAACTCAACACACTCCAAACACCACACTCAGCAACTCAGCCCCACAAACTTCCACCTGGGTGCCGGAACCCTGGCCACTTCCCACCTTCCAGCCTCATTCTACTCCATGACCGAGGCCTGCTGGCGCTCCCTGCAGAACACCTCTTCAGTCCACCTGCCGGAACCCATTTCTACCAGCTCTCACAGGACAACTGCAGTGACCTCCCTGGGCTTCCTGCTTCCCCTGTCCCTCAGCAATCTCCACAGTCCTCAAGAGGGATCTTTCTAAATGTAAATCTGGCCTTGACCCTCCCCTACTCAGACTCCTTCCATAGCTCCCGATTGCCCTTGTGAAGGAGTCCCAACTCCTCACTCCGGCCTCAAAGCCATGCATGAACTGCCCCTCGCTGGCCTCATCTGTCTCCACCCCCTCCCCTCCCCGACGTTAGCTCTTTTCGTTTTAAATGTTTCATGCCTTTATCACCATGAAACATTTGCACATGCGGTTCCCTTTGCCTGCGACACCTTCTCCTCTTCACCTTTACTGGTCAGCTCCCACCATCCTCAGCTTAACCACCTCT